AGGCGTGGATTTTTAAAGAATATTTCTTCAAAGAACCAGCAGACTTCTAGGCGTGGATTTTTAAGGAATATTTCTTCATGGACTATCGTAGCTACAGGCTTGAAATTTTAAAAATTTTTTTTCAAGGTCTTTCAGACCAATATTTATTATGCAATAAAATCTATTAGCCTTCATTCAACAACGCCCACCTCTGAACCCCACCAACATTCATATCCCTGCGAAATTGTCTTCCGACCAAAGGAAATAAAAGGGCAAAACATTCAACCGGAAACAGGAAATATTTGCCATTTGAGATGTTAATTGAGCTGCAGATAAAAACAAATTAATCCCATTTTAATCATCATCCTGTACTTCAATTTGCGGCAGACTTTACACAATTACACACACACATACAAATGTAGAGGTCCATACGAGCGAAGAGATACCCGGCCATACGTACTGGCCACACTGCATTTGAGTGCATTCAATTTACGTACAACTTGGACTCATTCACCGCATCGAACAATATCGAGTGGTCTTGGTTGCGGTTGTAATTGAAGAAGTTGTTGATGTGTCCCTTGTCCCACACTATCCTTGTCCGTAGCACCTATCACTGCCAGAATCCCTGAGTAATGTCTGTGTGGCTGTGTGTACGGATGGGTGATTATTTTGTGGTAGCTGAAAGTAATAGTCCTGTGAAAATTGTCATCTATATAGTCTTCAGTTGATGACAGAGGCAATGACTGTTGAACCTGATGCTGCTGTATAGCCTGCTGTTGACAGAGATCATACCGTACATATGTGTGTGGGTGTGTGTTTTCATTTTTCCAAAATAAAAAGAGTTTACGATGTTTTTTTGTTGTTGGTCAAAGTAATGGACTTTTTTTTTTGGTTAGATATGGGATGAGTTGCGCTGTTGTGGTCAAGAACTTGATATTACCCAGAAATATATTTTAGAATATTGTTGTATATAGAGGATTTATTGAAACCGAATAGGCAACCGGATATTCATTATTTTGTAGCTAAACCTTGAAGAAATATTCTCTTAAAAATCCACGCCTAGAAGTCTGCTAGTCCTTGAAGATTTTTTTTAAATCCACGCCTAGAAGTCTGCTAGTCCTTGAAGATTTTTTTTAAATCCACGCCTAGAAGTCTGCTAGTGCTTGAAGAAATATTCTTTTAAAAATCCACGCCTAGAAGTCTGATAGTCCTTGATGAAATATTCTTTAAAAATCCACGCCTAGAAGTCTGCTAGTCCTTGAAGAAATATTCTTTTAAAAATCCACGCCTAGAAGTCTGCTAGTCCTTGAAGAAATATTCTTTTAAAAATCCACGCCTAGAAGTCTGCTAGTCCTTGAAGAAATATTCTTTTAAAAATCCACGCCTAGAAGTCTGCTAGTCCTTGAAGAAATATTCTTTTAAAAATCCACGCCTAGAAGTCTGCTAGTCCTTGAAGAAATATTCTTTTAAAAATCCACGCCTAAAAGTCTGCTAGTCCTTGAAGAAATATTCTTTTAAAAATCCACGCCTAGAATTCTGCTAGTCCTTGAAGAAATATTCTTTTAAAAATCCACGCCTAGAAGTCTGCTAGTCCTTGAAGAAATATTCTTTTAAAAATCCACGCCTAGAAGTCTGCTAGTCCTTGAAGAAATATTCTTTTAAAAATCCACGCCTAGAAGTCTGCTAGTCCTTGAAGAAATATTCTTTTAAAAATCCACGCCTAAAAGTCTGCTAGTCCTTGAAGAAATATTCTTTTAAAAATCCACGCCTAGAAGTCTGCTAGTCCTTGAAGAAATATTCTTTTAAAAATCCACGCCTAGAAGTCTGCTAGTCCTTGAAGAAACATTCTTTTAAAAATCCACGCCTAGAAGTCTGCTAGTCCTTATAGAAATATTCTTTTAAAAATCCACGCCTAGAAGTCTGCTAGTCCTTGAAGAAATATTCTTTTAAAAATCCACGCCTAGAAGTCTGCTAGTCCTTGAAGAAGTATTCTTTTAAAAATCCACGCCTAGAAGTCTGCTAGTCCTTGAAGAAATATTCTTTTAAAAATCCACGCCTAGAAGTCTGCTAGTCCTTGAAGAAATATTCTTTTAAAAATCCACGCCTAGAAGTCTGCTAGTCCTTGAAGAAATATTCTTTTAAAAATCCACGCCTAGAAGTCTGCTAGTCCTTGAAGAAATATTCTTTTAAAAATCCACGCCTAGAAGTCTGCTAGTCCTTGAAGAAATATTCTTTTAAAAATCCACGCCTAGAAGTCTGCTAGTCCTTGAAGAAATATTCTTTTAAAAATCCACGCCTAGAAGTCTGCTAGTCCTTGAAGAAATATTCTTTTAAAAATCCACGCCTAGAAGTCTGCTAGTCCTTGAAGAAATATTCTTTTAAAAATCCACGCCTAGAAGTCTGCTAGTCCTTGAAGAAATATTCTTTTAAAAATCCACGCCTAGAAGTCTGCTAGTCCTTGAAGAAATATTCTTTTAAAAATCCACGCCTAGAAGTCTGCTAGTCCTTGAAGAAATATTCTTTTAAAAATCCACGCCTAGAAGTCTGCTAGTCCTTGAAGAAATATTCTTTTAAAAATCCACCCCTAGAAGTCTGCTAGTCCTTGAAGAAATATTCTTTTAAAAATCCACGCCTAGAAGTCTGCTAGTCCTTGAAGAAATATTCTTTTAAAAATCCACGCCTAGAAGTCTGCTAGTCCTTGAAGAAATATTCTTTTAAAAATCCACGCCTAGAAGTCTGCTAGTCCTTGAAGAAATATTCTTTTAAAAATCCACGCCTAGAAGTCTGCTAGTCCTTGTAGAAATATTCTTTTAAAAATCCAGGTCTCATGTGTGCCCTTAAAGGACCCTGTGTGACCCTCAGAAATATTCTTTTAAAAATCCACGCCTAGAAGTCTGCTAGTCCTTGAAGAAGTATTCTTTTAAAAATCCACGCCTAGAAGTCTGGTAGTCCTTGAAGAAACATTCTTTTAAAAATCCACGCCTAGAAGTCTGCTAGTCCTTGAAGAAATATTATTTTAAAAATCCACCCCTAGAAGTCTGCTAGTCCTTGAAGAAATATTCTTTTAAAAATCCACGTCTAGAAGTCTGCTAAGCCTTGAAGAAATATTCTTTTAAAATCCACGCCTAAAAGTCTGTTAAGTCTCGAAGAAATATTATTTCAAAATCCACGCCTAAAAGTCTGTAAAGTCTCGGAGAAATATTCTTTTAAAATCCACGCCTAAAAGTCTGTTAGGTCTCGAAGAAATATTCTTTTAAAATCCACGCCTAAACGTCTGTTAAGTCTCGAAGAAATATTCTTTTAAAATCCACGCCTAAAAGTCTGTTAAGTCTCGATGAAATATTCTTTTAAAATTCACGCCTAAAAGTCTGTTAAGTCTCGAAGAAATATTCTTTTAAAATCCACGCCTTAAAGTCTGTTAAGTCTCGAAGAAATATTCTTTTAAAATTCACGCCTAGAAGTCTGCTAGTCCTTGAAAAAAATATTCTTTTAAAAATCCACGCCTAGAAGTCTGCTAGTCATTGAAAAAATATTCTTTTAAAAATCCACGCCTAGAAGTCTGCTAGTCCTTGAAAAAATATTCTTTTAAAAATCCACGCCTAGAAGTCTGCTAGTCCTTGAAAAAATATTCTTTTAAAAATCCACGCCTAGAAGTGTGTTAGTCCTTGAAGAAATATTCTTTAAAAACCACGCCTAGAAGTCAGCTAGTTCTTGAAGAAATATTCTTTAAAAATCCACGCCTAGAAGTCTGAAAGTCCTTGGAGAAATATTCTTTAAAAATCCACTCCTAGAAGTCTGCTAGTCCTTGAAGAAATATTCTTTACAAATCCACGCCTAGAAGTCTGCTAGCCCTTGAAGAAATATTCTTTACAAGTCCACGCCTAGAAGTCTGCTAGTCCTTGAAGAAATATTCTTTTAAAAGTCCACGCCTAGAAGTCTGCTAGTCCTTGAAGAAATATTCTTTACAAATCCACGCCTAGAAGTCCGCTAAGCCTTGAAGAAATATTCTTTTAAAAGTCCATGCCTAGAAATCTGCTAAGCCTTGAAGAAATATTCTTTGAAAATTCCACCCCTAGAAGTCTGCTAGGCCTTGAAAAAATATTATTTAAAAATCCACGCCTAGAAGTTTGCTAGGCCTTGAAGACATTTTCTTTAAAAATCCACGCCTATAGCTACGATAGCTATTGAAGAAATATTCGTGCTTGAAGAAATATTGTTTAAAAATCAACGAAATTGTTTCAACTGTTTTTTCCACCTGCTGTAACTTTTATATAATCCGGTTACAAAACTACCCGTTTTCTTTATTGCACTGAAAACAATTTTGCGGTTAAAGTAACTCAACTGTTTGTTACTGCTACTACTTTTGTGGTATGTTGTCGAATAGTTGAGCTAATTAATCCTTTCCATGTGGTATGTTTTCATACGGATGTCCCTGTAAAGGATTGCATCCTGTAATTTAAAACAGACAGGATGACAAATGTTTGCCATGGTTTGAGGTGCTCAACTGCCGGGGTATGTGGAGATTTGATTGTAGCTTGTTTTTACTGACTTGGCCAAAAAACCGCAGAGTAAAAGTAATTTCCAAAAAAGTGAATTGTAATTTGATTGAAATGGGGATATAGCGGAATATTGAAAAAAAACACATCTTATTGTTAATAAAATATAGTTTTTTGCAGGGATTGATAAAAAATAGGTATATTTCTCGATTGACTGCCTATAAAACCGTGTTTGGTCTGGAGGATTGCTAACAAATATATAAAACAGTTTTGTAGTTACTGAAATATACTTTAATTGAAATCGTCATTACAATAATTATTATATTTTTTTACTACATTATACATATAAATTCATTGAATTTTAAACATACATATGTATATATTTTTCGATAAAAATACAATTCTGTATTATATTAGTCTATTTTAGCTAAAAATGACGGAGGAAAGGCTACAACGGTAGTAGGGGTTTTAAGCTTAAAATCTGAAGAAATGATAGAAATTTTGAATATTGCACTAAATACGGTTTTATACAGCCTCCTTCTCTTTTGCCTTAGAGTCGTCTGATGGTCCTTCTGTTTCGTCAGCATCCTTTTCATCAACATCCGATTTTGTATTTTCCTTAGTTGTCGTCTTCATCTTTTCCTTACTCTCTGCATTCTCCTTGTCCAAACGCTCATGCTCGCTCTTTATTAGTTTATCCAGTTCTTCCTTCCAACCCAAAGCCTCAGCCAATGCCAAACAACCATCATCACAGTCACCAATGTAGGCAATATCTCGTGTATTTTTGGGATTGTCAAACATAAGACCAGGACCCATCATAAACCACGAGCCAATACCACCAAAATCATTACCAACTTTGGTGCGATTAATCAACAAACGCACACACTTGGGACCGGCCCTATCGATAAGCGATGCAAACGGTTGTACCTCCAATGAGGTACCCATAATAATTAACAAATCACATTTATTGAAATCCTTTGCCGGCAGGGTGTAAAACTTTTCCGGTAAATTTTCACCAAAGAAGACGATATCGGGCTTTACGACCGAATTACACTCCTCACATGTTGGTACACTATCGCTGAAAATTTGTTCCTTCATCCATTCCATGGAATAGAGTTTGCGACAACCCAAACAATGATTGGTAAAAAATGTGCCGTGTGCCTCTACCAGTTTATCATCTGGTATGCCGGCAATTCGTTCCAAAGTATCAATATTTTGGGTATAGTGTCTCAGCAGTAGGCCTTTTTCATGCAAAAGTCTTACGAAATAATGTGATGGTGTTGGATTAAATGAACCGGGATATAACTCTTTGGCCAAAGCGAAAAATGGCTGAGGATTTTCTTCAAAATAATCCATTTCAAATATTGCCGATGGATGGGGTAAATTGTATTTTTGCAAATTATCATATAGCCCCGAGCCAGGTGAACGAAAATCTGGAATACCGGCAGCTAAATAGAAAGAATGTGAAATATTAAATTCCTATTTTTAGAGGAATAAAACTGAAATATGTACTTACATGTTGAAATACCAGCTCCAACCATTGTAATAATATTTTTAAATCCTTTGGATTTCCAGTGATCGCATAGTCCTTCAAATGTTAAGTTGTCAAAAGCCTATAAGAAATTAATATATTGAGGATATTATGTATATTATAAATAAATAATATAGTATATATGTATATAATTTTAATCCGAAGTTTGTAATATGTTTGTAAAATACCACCTCGCAAACCATTTTATGGCTATACATTTTTCAGTCGAATTTAAAATTGTTTAAATATTCCTAAAAATCCACGCCTAGAATTCGGATAGCCCTTGAAAAAATATTCTTTATAAATCCACACATAGATTTCGGATAGTATTTGAAGAAATATTCTTTAAAGATCCTCGCATAGAATTGGGATAGTCCTTGTAGAAATATTTTTAAAAACCACGCATAGAACTTGGATAGTCCTTGGCGAAATATTCCTTAAAATTCCACGCTTAAAATTCGGATAGTTCTTGAAGAAATATTCCTTAAAATTCCACGCCTAGAACTCGGATAGTCCTTGGCGAAATATTCCTTAAAATTCCACGCTTAAAATTCGGATAGTTCTTGAAGAAATATTCTTTAAAAATCCACGTCTAGAAATCGAATAGTCCTTGAAGAAATATTAATTAAAATTCCAAGCCTAGTGGTCTGATAGCCCTTGAAGAAATATTCTTTAAAAATTTGATATCCCTTAAGTCGATAGCTTTTAAGCCGTATATTGAAATATCCCCACATCATGTCACTGAAAACATTGATATGTTGTTGCAATTGATAATAAAAGGGCTACATATGGTGAAAATTTTGAAATTTTCTGAGCCGTACCGCTATTGTAAATGTATTCCCATCACAGCATTAAATTGACAAATTTCATGGATTTGGTGTTATTCTAATAGCACCTAATAATAGCCTGGACTACCTTTCTAGATAACTACTTACTACCATTGGAGAAATAAGTTTTTTGCATTTTATCTTTACTTACTTTCTTATCAGCACCATCCTGTTCGTCGAGAGCTGTAACCAAATTCAGTTTCTGGGAGAAGAATTTTCGGATGGCATCCATAGTGGAATCCTCCTCTGAAAGGAAAAAGAAACACAAAATTTAATTGAAAAATCAAATAAAAATTAAAAAAGCAGCAATGATTTAAGCAGACAAATATATTTTCAAAGTTAAGCAACGTTACTTCAGAATAAATCCCCCTATTTAGCAAAGACACAAGCCAAATAATAAAACAAATGGTGTTTATCGCAGCTAAATTTAATTCCCTTTCCATTTTATATTCTATGGCACACCCTGTTACTCTGCATTATTATACTCTTCTCACCTGTTCCTTCAGCAACTGCTTCATTCTCATCTTTGGTTTTGTTTTTGTTTTGGGAAGTTGTAGGGTTTTCACTCATTTCAGCCGCTGTTATACCACTTATAATACTTCTTTTTGTATATATTTCAGTTAACAGACGTTTGTTGTTCAACAACAATGATCTCAGATGTGATGCCGTTTTGGAAATTTTTATTTTAATTAACGAAATTTAACAAAAACGAACTATCGCGACCACAGGGCACAAAAGAAAACACACAATAATTTGTCAATAGGAAGGGCATGTTACGGCGCCGAATTGCCTTCACACAACGCCGGTAGTCATATGTCATCACTTTAACGGCGTCAGAACTTTGATAGCAATCTTTATGGTAAACCTTTTCGATGGACGTATGTAATTGTGGCGTTGATTATATTTGAAATAAAAAAAAAATTTTGTAATTATTATTAATTCTATTACAAATAAGCGAAATAAAATAAAAGTTAAAGTGTAAACTAGTATACCTAATAATGACAATAAAAAACTCGTAAAAAAATTAAATAAAATTAAAGAATTAATTAAAATTATAGAATAAATCAAATTATAGCACATTTATATTGTACTGAATTTAGTTACTTAATTGGGTTTAAATTATATATGAATATATGTGAAATAAATCCTCATAAAGAAATTGAATTTTAGCTTGACGGTTTAACGTACGGTCATATGCTATGTTTTTTATGGCGATTTGAAAAATCAAAGCAAACTGCAATCGACCTGAAATCTTTGGAGAAATTTTTAAAACTAAAGAAGATGGCGAGCACAACCTGCTGCGCATAATTATATTTTATCTGACGGAAGAATTCACTAAATACAGAGTTGCTTTTTGTTGTTCAAATCAATATATCGTACCTTATATTAGTGTACCCTCGTACCTCCCCAACAAGTCAAAATCAAATTTGTAATAGTACGTTTACATTTAATCGGATTTCGTGAACCCAGTGGTTTTTATTTGTCAATTCCTTTGCATATATGTCAAATAAATCCTCATAAAGTAGGTTCATCCGGTAAAAAGTTGGATTTTATGTTGGTCTAATATATAATATTGACCCTTTTTGTAGGGTGTACCAGAGGAGAGGGTAGACGGGTGTCACCTTCCGACTTGATCTAGGCTTGGTAAAGATAATAGGTTGTGCAAAATTTGTTTCAAATCGGGCATTTCATTTGCCTAATATTGGATTTATAAATATTGAAAATGTTGAGCATTTGTGTGGGAGGTACCAGATGGAGTGGACCAATGGATTCCATCTTCGGACTTGATCTAGGCTTGGTAATTATAATAGGTTGTAAATACAAAGTTTGGTTCAAATCGGACATTCCCACCGCCGGATATTGGATTTAAAAATATTGAAAATTTTGGTAATTTATGAGGGAGGTACAAGATGAAGTGAACCAATGGGTCCCATCTTCTATTTTAATCTGGGCTTGGTAAAGATAATAGGTTGTACAAACTTTCGATAAAATGTGATATTCCGTTATAATTTTAATTTTTAGCACAATTTTGACCATTTTGTGGGGGAGGTACCAGAAGGAGTGAACCAATGGGTCCCATCTTCAAACTTGATCTAGGCTTGATAAAGGACATTTTCATTAGCTTGATAATGGATTTATAAATATTGAAAAATTTGATCCTCTTCGAACTTAAACTACAGTGGTGGTCACAGAATTAAAACATTTACTGTGGTAAACATTTTTTGATCCGCCTTCGATTCGTTTGAAGTATTTTTGAAAATTTTTTAATTCAGAACACTTCGATATACTGCACTTAAGAGATTTAGTGTGAAAAAAGAAACTTTTTGCGTGCAATTTTTCCATAAATAACGGTTTTTATGAAAATACATCGACTTTGATGTGGCCATATAATTAAAACATTGTGTGGGATTTTTTACTTTACTGCATTTTTTGAAAATATTTTTAGAAAATCTTTTTAATTTAGTTAAATTATGTAAACTAAGCACCGATAAAATCATTTCCAGATAAAATTTTTTGAAAAAATCTGTAAAATCTATCAAAATTGCCAACAATTTGTACAGTACACCTTACATTCAGAAAATCACTCTTATTATAGAAAATAAATATCCGAATGCACCAGAAATTGCTAGAATTAGTTGAAAACTATAAATAATTCTCAAAATAAATAAATATTTGAAATAAAAACTCAAAAAATGGGAATTAACCTAAAGTAACGATGCAATTGCAATAGCCTTTACTGAAGAAGGCCGGAATATTTTTGCAGTATGTGAAAGAAAATCGATTGATATTGGTATTTATTATACCAAATCGACTGTTCGAGTAGTACAGAATATATTTTATCATAAAATATATCTGTCAGAACAGAACGAAAAGAGATCAACGCCTAGGTTGAGTAAAAGTTTCAAGCACACAGCAGTATGTTTGATGGTCAACTCTTGACCCTTAAAATCTATTGAACATGACAATATTTTTCCAAAATAATATTTTTTGAATCGAATAACTTCCACTTAATCTATTTTAGTATCACGGAAGTAAAAATTTTACAGTTTGACAAATATTTGAAGTCTTGTGTTGAACATCAAAAATGCTGCTGTGTGCTTGAATCTTTTACTCGTCAACCTAGGCGTTGATCTCTTTTCGTTCTGTTCTGACAGATATATTTTATGATAAAATATATTCTGTACTACTCGAACAGTCGATTTGGTATAATAAATACCAATATCAATCGATTTTTTCTCACATACTGCAAAAATATTCCGGCCTTCTTCAGTAAAGGCTATTGCAATTGCATCGTTACTTTAGGTTAATTCCCATTTTTTGAGTTTTTATTACAAATATTTATTGATTTTGAGAATTATTTATTGTTTTCAACTAATTCTAGCAATTTCTGGTGCATTCGGATATTTATTTTCTATAATAAGAGTGATTTTCTGAATGTAAGGTGTACTGTACAAATTGTTGGCAATTTTGATAGATTTTACAGATTTTTTCAAAAATTTTTATCTGGAAATGATTTTATCGGTGCTTAGTTTACATAATTTAACTAAATTAAAAAGATTTTCTAAAAATATTTTCAAAAAATGCAGTAAAGTAAAAAATCCCACACAATGTTTTAATTATATGGCCACTTCAAAGTCGATGTATTTTCATAAAAACCGTTATTTATGGAAAAATTGCACGCAAAAAGTTTCTTTTTTCACACTAAATCTCTTAAGTGCAGTATATCGAAGTGTTCTGAATTAAAAAAATTTCAAAAATACTTCAAACGAATCGAAGGCGGATCAAAAAATGTTTTCCACAGTAAATGTTTTAATTCTGTGACCACCACTGTATGTTTGGAAGAAATATTAAGATGTGCAAAGTTTGAATGAAATCGGTTGCTGCGTTCGAGAGTTTTCGTGCGCACCAGACGGACGGACATATGTAAATCGACTCCAAATTTTCTTGTCCAAAGAAACCTGGGGTCTAAACCAATATTTCGATGAGGCATATTTTCACCGTATCAAAGTGTATATACCCTCATTAGCCATAAGGCTGAGTGTATTGAATTAAATTTTTCATTCACATTTTAGTTTTCCAATTTTTACAGTTCAATAAATGTTTTTATTTGTTTTCAACTACAACATACTAGCAACAACAACATGTGATCCCTACTTTTAACGTTTTCCACATCAATTTGAATGGAATTTCTATCGGAATGTCTATCCATACAACAAATACCAAATACCGAAAAAATACAACTCTACACTGTTGCTACTCGTCAGTGCAGCACTGTGAAACCACGCTTTTTCCCTTCAACTCAACGCTGTGGCATGTTGTTTTGAATAACTTGACAAATTGACCAACCCAGCTGTTTGTTTTCTTTTCCTGCAAAAGTTTTTTCTTTTACCAACTAAAATCCTTGAAAAAATGAAAATTATTTAGAGAAAAACTATCGAATTCGTTTGGCCGTTTTGTGTGTAAGCCGAAATTAGTTCCCTTCTCTTGTGTTTGCTGTGTGTGCGCTAAGTGAAACGGTGGCCGAAAGTTGTGTGTGATGTGAAATGTAAGCCCACGAAAAACGTGAAATTTTACAGACAGCAGCAAGCAGCACAACTCTATTGGAAAGAAGAAAAACAAGCACACACGTTGCCACAGTGGCAATAATAACGACCGACCGACCGAACGAAAACACAGATTCTGGCTGTGTTGAGTGAAAAAGTGAAACGGGGTAAGCGCAACGTGAATTTTGTAAAAGAAATTCATATTGAATTTCTAAATGGAATTGATAACTAATGTAGTGATGTTGATTTTCATTTATAGTTCAGTTGAGAAAATAATAGCGCGAGATTTTAGGCGAATACAAATAACTCGAATAAAGTTGTCGGATTGTTGGTTGATTGGCGGTTTGGAAAATACCTCATGCAAGCAAGATGCACCTCAATCATGCAACAGCAGTAAGCACGGCCGCCATGATCAATTATCAGCATTATGCACCGGCACAAATTGCCACTTCCCATGGGGTCACCACCTCGACAAATCAACATCAGACAATTTCTGCAGCCGGACTGCAGCAGACCCCCTTTACACTACACCAGCTAACAGCAGTACAAGCCATACAGCATCCTACTCATCAGGCCATGTTGCATCCGCAACATCCGCTTGTCCATCTGTTGGACATATCGACAACGGCCGCCAATACATCGAATATCAATCACCCGGCGCCAATAACACCAATGACGGTAACTAAGGTGGAAATGCCGGAGGAGATGCCCGAGCCACAGATTGATGATCCGCGCAAAAAGAAGCAGTGCCACATTTGTAAGAACAAGTTTCGTCAATTGACCACGCTGAGGAACCACATGAAAATACACACCGACGAAAGACCCTACAAGTGTAAACACTGTGAAAAGGCCTTCCGTCAGATATCCACTCTAACGAATCATGTTAAAATTCATACCGGCGAGAAACCGTTTAAATGCAATATTTGCTCCAAGGATTTTCGTCAACAATCGACTTTAATCAATCACATCAAAACGCATAAGGGTAAGTAGAGATCATACCATGCCTGTTGTTGTTTGATTGTTTCTCTGTGTGTCTCTCTGTTCGCCTTACATGGATTGTATGGAAAGCATATATATTCTCAATTACATATTATAGTTATATATATAGTATGCCTATATGCATATAGTATTTGTAAATATTTTTGCTTTTTTAATTGATATTTTTATTGTATTTTTTCATATAAGCATTATTGTTAACATTCCACATTTATTCAAATCATACAAAATTCGTATAAAATTTATGTTAAGTTAAGGCGCTAAAATTTTACTATATATAGTTATATTACAAATGATTTTTTTTTTTTCATTACATTTAATTATAGATATGCTATTAGCCTGAAAAAAAAACTAATTCGATATACATTTTTTTATTTTTCTAAATTTCATTTTTTTTCCAATAATTTTTAATACATAAGAAAATGTGTGATAATAAAAGCTATTCTATGTATATGAATAAGTCTTCCAATTATTCTTCCTCACGGAAAATGAAAGTGGTTCAAGATTAGATAGAATTGATGATGTTAAACATGATCGTCAGCAATCCTTATATCCGAAGCTCCTAGAAGCACTTTAGAATGAGGGATATCGGGACATGGCGAACTTCACACTATGAGCAAGCAAATGTCCCTGACAGGAGATTACGAACTCTGTTACAATAGAAATTCATTATGTGTCCATACCTTAATTTTGAGGAATTCAAAATAACCATACCATAGACGGGTGAGCTTCCTCCTCTTGAAGGTCTGTCAATATATACAGACGTTCTTTAAATATATACAGGCTCAAAGATGGAAGAAGGTTCAGGTTAGGGGGTATTCTGCAAAGAAATTTCTGTTAAAAAAATACTTTTAGGGGTTTTCAAGAAGAGATTTTATACATCTTGAAATTAGCGGAGTTAGTCAAGGGAACTGTGACTCGTTAAGGGTGACTACATTTATCGATAGTCTAGCGGCATTTAAAGCAATCAGAGATAAAGACAACCATAGGGATTATTACAATTCACTGCAGAATAAAATCTCTTTATTTAAAATGGGAGATTAAAGAAATGGATTATTGTCGTCCATGTGAGGATAAATAGGAAACTGAAACTATGGACCATATGCTTTGTCGATGCCCCATGCTTCGATGCAGAAGGCAGAAACATTTTGGTAGATTCGATATAGAAACGCTAACTATGTTCTCCAAAATATACTCAAAACATCATTTAGAGCCTTGTTCGGAAATTGAAAAGAATTTCGACGGAAATTTTTAATGGACAGTTAGTGGATCCGAATTCGAATGACTAATCATAAACCCAATTTTTTACGGACTAACTTGTATTCGAAAAGAATTTTAAATAAACAGGATGAATCGCTCATATTCATAATAAAAAATAATAATACTAATAATTTCGGGCTTGCCTTAAAAATCTATTTAATGAAAATAGCGATTAAGTTAGCCCATTGCCATATAGTCCATTGACGTCATCATAAAGGACGTTGTAGATTGGAGGAAAATAGAAAGTGTAGCGTTTCTCAAGCAGAAATCCTTGCAATAACGAAAGCGGCCGAGATAATAAAATCACTTACTGCCGACATTACGGGACCGGTGACTATATATGTCGATAGTCAGGCGGCCCTTAAGGCGGTGATAGTCGGTAACAGATGGTCGAGACAACCTGGTTGCAGAATCTCAAAAGCTATCTGGCCTGAATTCTCTTACCGAAGAACTTCTTCGCTGCTGGCACATAACAAGAGAGAGGTCAAAATCATTGTGGGGATCATAACAGGTCACTGCAAGATTAGACCTCTCACTTCGAAATTTGACTCCGGCGGAGAGGATTACTGTCTTCTATGTGAGGACGAAGAATAGCGAGAAACAACTGATCATATCTTCTGTAAATGTCCATTGCTGATTGGCAGAGGACATAAACAGATTGGTAGATATGCAATTGATAATCTAGCCTTCTTCTCTAAAATAGACCCTAACCAGATCCTAGGCTTTGTCAAAAATTTGACATGGCTAAAATAACCATCTCTCCTTCTCCCACTATCGTTTTCTTGCTTTCTACTCCCTCTTCTCTTTCTCTTTGTAGGTAAAAAGGATGATCACAATGAACATTAGACTTCGAGTGGACGTTTGTTACTAACAACCGTACATCCCTAACCTAACCTATGTGAAAAGTAGAGATTAGGATTGTTAAATGATTTTATTGCCTATCTCGGAGAAAAAGGTTAAAATGACTATTTAAAAACTACCACGCATAAAGCATAGGATATCGACAGAGTGGACGTTCGAGTCTAACTGTCTCCTGTTGATCCTTGCGTAGACGACAGTATTTCACAACATTAATTTGAATTTTAAAAAGTTTTACATTAAAAAAACCGGCAGTCATCATTAACTCTTTTCTAACCATAGACAACAATGCTTTAGATCTAAATTTTGAGATTGCCGGCTACATAGATCTAGTATTCGCCTAATCGCTATAAATGTAGCATATATTGCTATATTGATTGACTGCATCCACATCGGCTACGTCGCTATGATCTGAAACCCAAAAAAAGACAGCGATTATATTAGACTGTACATGGGGTATGCACACTTTGATAAAGCAAAAATGTGCCTCATCGAAGAATTAATTTTAAATACCATGTTTCTTTGGACCAAATCTGTTTCAGACAATTTGGAGTCGACTTACGCATGTCCGTCCGTCTGCCTGTCTGATCCATGTCTGATCTGATGCGTACGATAACTCTCGAAGGAAATAACCGATTTCAACCATACTTTAGACATCGTAATATTTCTTTCAAACTTAGTTCAAGTTCGAAATGGGGAATATCGGTCCAATCCTTCTGGTACCTGGCCCAAAAATTGTCAAATTATGGTAAACATTAATTTTAAAATATCATGCAAACGGACTATCCTATTTGAATCAAACTTTGTACAATATATTATTTTTACCAAGCCTAGATCAAGTCCGAAGATGAGACTCCTTTTGGTATCTCCACCACAAATTGTCAAAAACCATATCAGGCGGATGGAATGTCTGATTTAAACCTATTAAAGATAATATATTGTGCAAAGTTTTGTTCAAATCGGACCTTCCTTTCGCCTGATATTTGTTCATTAAATTTGATAAACAAACCATATTGCTTATATTAAAGGAACATATGTGTAAATCCGAAGACCTGCTCAAACCATAGCCTAAGGGTATATATTTGTCGGCAACACTGACTGACACTTTTTTGCTCCGTATGGAGTATATCAGGATATACAGAAATATTTATGTTAAAAATTTTTGATTTCTTGAGAAGTGTCCTTGAGACAAAGATAATCCAATGAAACACCTATTTATGATTGCATATGTTGTAGCGACTATATTTTGTCACACATTGCTCTGATCGGACTGTAGAGATTAGATTAGTCTGGTTCGGATGTTAGATATTTTGAAATTCTAACTTAGAGATAAATTACCTCTTCTGGTGTGATAGCTCAGCCACGATATATTTTTGGAAATGCTGTTTATAATGATGGATCTATTTCTGAGAAAAAGGTCTGCATGATTTTGCAATGAGTTGACATCCAACTTTCCAATTCTTACGAATTGACTAATTTCATGCCAAAGTCATGATCTGCTATATAGTCCGAATATTGCAATGTGCATTAAACACTAATGTGACCCTGTAGAAAATTTGCGATTGTATAGGTACTTCTGGCTCCATTTTCCCAATTGTACTTTGTACACGATGTAGGAGTTCTTTCAATCAACAAGTCTTTGGTTCTTTGTGAACTTCCAAATTAACATGATATTCTTCTTGATTCGAAAAAATTTATTGTCTGTTTTAGTTTTTTGTCTGGGTCGATAAACAGTTTGAAGAATTTATAGCTTTCCGGTAGATATTTTTGTCGGATGCTTCCTTGGCCTTGACATATTTGGTGGCTGTTGGTGCTGATGGACCATTCATTGCTTCACTTTTCTTGACTACTTACTTATCATTAGTCTGTGGACGCGCTCAACATTATTGAGCTTTGCTCCCCGAAGTGGGAAGTATTTGTTACTTCGCTCACATCTCTTTCAACATCCTCAACCGTTTGCAGGCCGTACTTACTAAAAGGGTTCTAAATCTGGTAATGCAGCAATTCTTTAAGGGGCTCTTTTAGAATTCTGTGTTTCGAATATGAACTTTCGAAGGTATCTTAGGTTCTTAATATTATAGTTGTCGAGATTTTTGTACTGCCATTGTTAAAAATTCTAAGATCATATTTAGTTGAATATGGTCTCATCAAAGATATGCTCTTCATTTCCCATAAATAATTTTATAGATACCGTTACGTTGGACAATGAGGGGACAGGAAAGATCACAAAAATGTTATGGGGTGACCCTAAATGAAAACAAAACTAAGCAAATCCTAATGCTAAACAAAAAAGAAATAACCTGACTGACGGCACATATACAAAATTGGATGCGAGGGTAGGAGCAAGTGCAGAGCGTATGGGGAAGACAGCGAAACGTTGGAATATTTCCTGTGCCACTGCCAAGCATTTATAGGCCTTCGAAGACACACAATATTTTTAAAACCTTAAGGGGATCAAACCCAAAATGCTTATTCTAATATTCCCTAAATCTAATTTTCTTTTCATTTCTAAAGCTCACAATAGGCCTAAACTGGCTTAAAGTATGACGTTATTTTTGTTGAACATGTGGTGGAATTGGATCCATAAACATGTCATTTTACAACCTATACTAAATTTTTCATTTGGTCAGATATAGAGCTGCTTCTTACAATGAAACAAAATTGTGTAAATCAATTTAAGACAAATATGAATCGGCAAAATTTTGTGCCAATTTTGTGTAAAATCGGACGAAAATATATATGTGGAAGCTATATCTAAATCGGAACCGATTTCAACGAGACTTGGCAGAGAGTATTTTTATATTAACTACAGTTCAATGTACACAATTGTGTGACAGTCCGACAAATTTTGGGTCTTTAGTGCACAATTTACATAAAATCGGAAGAAAATATATAGGAGCTATATTTAAATCTGAACAGATTTTTACGAAATTTAGCACACATCATTCTAGACTTAATTATGTACGCTATGCCAAATTTCGTTCAGATCGAAAGATATATGTGGACTTTGGTGCACCATTTAAATTAAATCGGACGAAAATATATATTGGGAGCTATATCTAAACCGATTTTCACGAAACTTAACACACATCTCTTTAGAGTTAATTCAGTTCGCTGTGCAAAATTTCGTGCAAATCGAAAGATTTATAGGGACTTTGGTACACCTTTTACTTTAAACCGGATGAAAATATATATGGGAGCTATATCTAAATTAAACCGATTTTCAAGAATTTTTACACACACCATTCTAGACCTAATTCAGTATACTATGCCAAATTTCGTGCAAATCAAAAGATGTATAGATCTTTTGACATGTTCCTTTAAAATTTCAAGTTGAAATATCAACATGGTGCACCATTTACATTAAATCGGACGAAAATATATATGGGAGCTATATCTAGTCAACATATAAGATCCGAATACTAAAAAGTGGGTCTAGAAATTTTTTTTTCGCGGCGTTATAAACTCTTGGGGCCGCACTAACTCTAATCTGAATATTTATAATTGTCTTTTTCAAATATATCTATACGGAGAATTTAATATAATCCCCAAATTATCCCCTTTTCATTAAATATTGGGGGTTGAAAGTATATCTTCATTTTACGTTTACTTCGCGTCTGTTGTACAGAATATCTCAATTAACTGTCACTTTGGTTAGATATGCGGCAAAAATATACAAATCAACAGGGGCTGTGTCAAAGCGTGTTCCCACATTGACAATTTCTTACGAGGAGTTTCTCTACCCATAAACTAGTCTAAATATTAAATAACAGGACCTATTTCAAAACATAGATCTATATATCCCATTTTCAATACAAAATATGCTAGATGTAATATTGGACTACATTTATGTTCAGTATTGTAGTTACAATTATTTCTTTTTCTCTCAAATAGGGCATTCATGGTTTATGTTTCATCAAAAAAAAAAAAAAGATCCATTACATTCATCCGTAACGTACTATTTAAATTTATTTTATTATAACATTGTCTATCAAGTGGGGCCGCCATCCAACAAACTTAACCTTTTATATATTTTTCATACATTTCTTTGCTACAGTTTTTGCCTCACTAGCAGAACAACAACAAAATGGAACGGCTGGACCTTTATTAAATTTTCAACCGCCCCAAACAACGCAGGGTACTTCACGTAAAGGACAGTCAAAAGCCGCTGCTCATGCAGCAACGGCTCAATTAATACATCAACAACAGCAACAATTGCTACAGCAGCAGCAACAACAAGGGCAAAGTACAATAATATATACCCCACAACAAAGACAAAATATAACCAAGAGTCTTTATACAGGCAGTTATAATTCACCACAGGCCGATGAGCTGGTCAAGCCGTATCAGTGTCATATTTGTAAACGAAGGTTCCCACAGTTAAGTACCCTGCAGAATCACGAGCGCACCCACATTGATCCTAAACCCTATAAATGTGATGGTTGCGACAAGGCATTCAGTCAGCTGGCAACGCTTGCCAATCACAAGAAGATCCATTCGGGCGACAAACCGTACGCCTGCCAATACTGCTGTATGACGTTCCGGCAACAGAGTACGCTCAACAATCACATGAAGACCCATGCCAATCAGGTGGCCACCATAACGTCGCATAACACCGCTCTGGGAGGAACAACAGGCACAGGTGAGGCGCTTGTTCTGACGACGCCATACAACTGATGTTAAAAGAAAAAAATAGTAAAGAAAAAGAAAAAACTTAAAGATTATATTTCTATTTCGATTAAAATAAAAGTGAACACAATTTTTTATTAACTTTTTATTATGCTTAACAACAACTCTATATATTTTATTTTAAATTTTTACACGCTAACCTTCAACCACTACAACAGGAGGAGGCGGCGGAGCAGCTCAGAATCATCAAACACATGGTAATAGTAACATCCCTTTAGCAGCTGCTACCATCATGGTTACACCAACAGCTACAGGACATTTACAAATACAGCCCCAAGTAGAACACCACCCTTTGTTACATTTTCTCGATAGTAACACCACCGTCAGCACCCTAAGTAATAAGGAACAGTTCGCCTCGTCCAATAATAATAACAATAATAATGCCGGTGGCCCAACTCCGACCGGAGTCGTTGCTCATTGTATACGTAACAGTTGCCCAGATCGTCCATTTATGTGTAGTGTCTGTCGTCGGGCCTTTTCACAGCAGAGTACGCTGACCAATCACTTGAAGACCCATACCGGCGAGAAGCCATACAAATGCAAAATATGCGAAAGTCACTTCCGACAAGTCTCCACATTGAATAATCACATGAAAATTCATACTGGCGAAAAGCCATATGCATGTTCCTATTGTCCAAAACAATTTAGACAAAAAAGTACACTAACTAACCATGTGCGCATACATACCGGTTGAAATACAGCAGCCACGGTTGGCGACGCCGTTGCTGCTGATGCCGCTGCCATTTCCATAGATGATCATACTAATTATACACAATTGACATCTTTTTCCCATAATCCCACACCAACAACCACAACAACAGCCTCCACAACACTAGCATTATTATCAAATTCATATCCTTCATTACCGCCTCCACCACCTCCCCCATCATCATCATTGCCAACACAGGTTCCCCACCACTCCCTACAACACTACACATTTCTAAATCCATCGTCGTCCCATCATCAATCCCCCTATAGTCGTCATTCATCATTAGCTCTTTCATTATTTCGCCATGCCCAACAACAATAAACTCAAGTCTCATTCATATCGAAAACAAAATTAACATCCAGTGTATATGGGGTGTTCAAAAATCACAAAATTGAAATTTAAATATTTGATAATCGAGATTTAATAATCGTATTTCGAAGTTGATAATTTACAAAATTTGGTGTTTTTTATTCCCTTGGTATTTTTTTTAACAAAACGGTTTTAATTTTTTTATGATATGATTATTCATAGAAATATTGAAATTGAATTCAAAAAAGTGCAATATACATATTGAACAAAATTTTAAATTTATTATTTTGAAGCAAATTGTAAAGAAATTTTGAAATCTAATTTCAAAACATTTTATTATTTAAAAAAATCTATCTTCGTACTTTTTTAAGAAATATATCTTTTTTATATCATTTTTATTGTTATTTGCAATTTTTGAACTCAAAAAATTAAAAATTAAACAATGTTTTTTTTTTGTTTTCATTGAATTTAAAATATGTAAATATGTTTTAAAACAATTATTTTTAATTGGATTTTGAAACATTTTCTGCATATTGGAATTTATTGATTGTAAAATAATTTTGAAATATTTTTGTGTAAGAATATTTGAAATTATAGTTTTCTAAATATTTAAAGTTAGAAAATGGTTTATTTAAAAATATCCCAATTTTTTTCAAAATGGTATAAAATATTACAATATTTTAAAATTTGAAATAAATATTTAAATATAACCAAAATTTATTGTATTTTTTATTTTAATACATTTTAAATAATTTTTCATATTTCAATTTAATTTCGAAACATTGCGATTATTATTTTTTTTTTAAATGGCCTTTTTCAATAAGGCTTTCCTTATTTAAGAAAGCTAATCTAAAATTGTCCAGATTCTTTTTAATTCTCTTTGCATTAAAATTTTAAGATTTAAGTAAAAAGAAAATTAAAAAAATTAAATCTTTCGCCCTAAAAAATGATTAATAAATTTATAAAATATTCAAATTGTCTTAAACCAAAATAATTTTAAAATAAAAGAAAAAATAGTGACATTTTTTTTAAATAATTAAAAAGTTAATTTTCTTAAAAAAATGTTAGAAATATTTGAAAAATTATTTAAAATTAACATTTTTAGAAATGTTATATTTCAAAATTTTAAATTTCACATTTTGTTTTAAATAAAATTAATATAAAAATGCGATAAAAAATTTTAAATTTATTATTGTTTATTTTTTATATTTTTTAAAGATAATTTTAAAAATATATATATTATAGATTTTATAAATAAAAAAATATTTTTAACATTTTTAATAATTATTCAATTTATAATTAATATAAACTTCAAAATTTCGTAAAAAATATTTGAAAACTTTAATAAAATGTTGAAATTTATATTTTTTATAAACTATTAAAATGGTAATTTTCCTAAAAAATATTTCAAAGTTATTTTAAAATTAATAAAAAAATGTTGAAAATTAAATTTTTAAATTGTTTTAAAAATATTTTTAGTTTTAATACAATTTTAAAATTATATAAATTTTAAGCCACCATTAAAACCTGATCAAAATTAAATTTCAACAACCATATATGTTTTTCAATATTTCTAAACAGTTCGAAATAAAAATCTTAGGAAAACACCAAAAAAATGTAAAAATATAATTCAAATTTAAAAACTTTTCAAAATAATTTTTGAATTTTTGAACACCAACTTCATACACATATATATCCCTCTGGAACACATCCATATCTACCTTTCCCTCCGTTGCATTGATACTATTCCTCTCCCACACCGCCCTGTAACAAAAAACAATACACGCTTACATAAGTCTATAATAAGAGATACAAAAAAAGCTAAATCAACTTTGCTAGACAACATAGAAGTTACTGTTTCCTTGATTAGAGAATTTCTTAGAAATTCATTGCAACAACCACAAAAAAGAAAAAACAAAAACAACAAATCTATACAACTAACTTTAAGCTTAGAGTTCTTGGTGTTCGTTAAACTTAAAATGAAAAAGAAAAAAACTCACCTCTAGACACACACACACTTCTACACAAAAACACTCTATCGTATATATCTTTTGCCAATGGGAAAACCTAAAGAGTATAAACAAAAGGTCCTTTTTATTTCACAAAAAACTGCTGTGCAGCCGTCGTCATATATTCTCTATAACTTTTAAGGGTACTTTCAAGAACACTGTTGTTTTTGTTGGCGACAAGTCGCCACATAAAAACAAACAAAACCATACTATTATTAATAATATTAAATACTAAAAAAATACTATTGAAAACAAAAGAAAATACAGGGTGTTAAACATTACATTTTTTTTAATTTGTATTTCCTTCCACCCATAATCCACATCTTTATGTTGCTTCCGTTGCAAATCCATTCTCTTCCCGTTAATTTTTGTTTGTTTGCAAATTAAAAAAACAAAAACGAAACCCCAATTTAATTTTAAGTTATTTTAGGAAAAAAAAACACACAAGATTCCTTTTGCAAGACAAAAGCTTCCTACTCCCTCATCTGCCCTTATCACTCATCCTTTCCTCTCTCTCACTATCATTATCATTTTGATCCTTATTCTTATCCCTCTCTCCTATTTGTTTTCATTTTATTTTTTTTATGATTAGAATAAAAGCCTTGCTTTTTGTCTATTTTGTTTTACCACTATTTTTTTTTTTTTATTATTATAATCGCCTAATTTTAAATGTAATCACATGATTGATTTATAAAGAAAGAAAGTGAAAAGGAAAACTAAACATTTGTTAGTACATACATACTAAATATTATTATTATTGTATACATAGTATAGTGTTCGGCCGTAATGATGAAATCGAAAAACAGAAACTGAAATGGAAAAAAAGTCAATGGAGTTTTTTTCTTTTCATTAAACTCCGCATATATCATTTGATTGATTAATTGTTTAATTATACAAAAAAAGAAAGAAACAAATAATTAAACAGAAATGAAAAAAACATAAAACTAAACAAGAAGATGAAAACGAAGAAATATTTTGAAAATATGGCAAGAAAACAAAAACAAATATATATAAATATATTGCAAGTATTTTTTCATGTGCAACTTTTTTTGTAATTTGTAATTTTTTTATACGTTGAATATTTGAACAACAACAACAAACAGACATAAAAACAGAGAACAACAATAATAATTGATACTGTGTACTTAAAAAGATATAAAAACAACAATAAAAATAAATAAAAAAGTATATAAGAAATACAAAATAAACGTTTAAAACTGTATACGAGTTAAAGTGGTTTTTATTTGAACCTCCATGGGATATAGGTAGTATTAAAGAAATAGAGTTAAAGAATATTATTTAAGGGGACCCCCCATTCTCGTGGTCAAAATTTTTTCGATTTAATTCGTATCTACACTAATTCAAGAATGTCCCTACAAAATTTCAAGTGAAAATCTCAAGAACTCTTGAAAATATAGCCGATTTATTGTGTCAGCATCAAGTGACGGCTAAAGGGCTTCTCAAACTTTAAACGCGTTTTTCTCTTTTGCGAATGGCGGGCACGATAACTCAAAAACTAATAACCCAATCGATTCCAAATTTTTACACGTTTCTCTGTGAGTGTATAGCTATCGTATGAACTAGGATAAAGCCAATCGGTGAAGATCTTCCTTATTTTTTAACTTGGGTTTTGGTCAAAAATCGGCGATTTTCCAAAAATATTTTTTCGAAGGTCCGCCATTTTGTTAATTTTAGAGCGAAGTCAATAATCCAGGTTCATATGAGAGCCAGACATGTACTCTTTCTAACACCGTTGGAATTTTCGGATTCCGATGTTTCAGTGAGGAGTTATCATGCCCGCCATCAAAAATAGGACTTTTCCTTAATTACAAAAAACAACAACAAAGCAATAACAAAAAATGTTTGTAAATTATTTTTCTTCTCTTTTAAATCTTCAAATATATATGAGCAAAGTTACAAACCTTACCAAGCATTGGAATTGATTTACCAGTCCATTGGAAATCTTGAAAAATTAAAATCGAGAATGGGTTGGGTTCCCTTAAATGGATTTTGTTTATCGTGAGTGGTTTTAAGAACAGCTTTTTCCAGTATTGAATTTTTATAATATATTTCAGTTTTTTTCTATTGTGACTCTTCGTGGGGGAGCTATTAGAAGGAGTGAACCGTTAAGTTGTGCAAAGTTTGGTTAAAATCGAATGTTCTGTTCGCATGATATCATTTTAAGCATAATTTTAACCATTTTGTGGGGAAAGTACTAGAAGGAGTGGACCAATATTCGAATATGATATGAGAAAATAATATTATGATAGGCGATTTTTGGACATTTGTAAATCGACTCCAAATTTCAACTTTATTTCAATTGTCTGAAACGGATTTATTCCAAAGAAACATGGGGTCTAAAATCAATATTTCGATGAGACGCGTAACTATGCGTATACGTGTCCGATAAGGCTGGTTTATTGAAAATTCGTTCTAGAACGGTATTTAAATTTCGAATGTAGTTATAGCGGCCCTATTGATTTTGTACAATGGGCTGAGGTGACACAGTTGGCCGAGTAAAACTCGGGTCGTTTCGGAGAGTAGAATCCTCTGTCGTGGTATCGATTTAAAATCAGTTATGTTCATATTTAATTTCAATAACATTTTGTTTTAATTAATTAAATTTTATGTGTAGATTGACTATGACACATTTTCTTTTTTATACCCTTCACCACACTGTTGTACAGTATTATGTCTTTGTGCATATGTTTGTAACAGGC